TATTAATGAATATAAAATTAAAAAGGTAATGTAGGGCCATTAATAATAGGAGGGGAAGATGTAAAGGAGAAATTTTGTATGTGATTATTACCAAATTAGTAGATTATTACAACTTTAAAATGTTTTGTAGCCCTAGCCCAGGGGTGGGCAAACTTTTTGACTCGAGGGCCACAATGGGTTCTTAAAACTGGACCGGAGGGCCAGAACAAAAGCACGGATGGAGTGTTTGTGTGAACTAATATAAATTCAAAGTAAACATCATTACATAAAAGGGTACGGTCTTTTTTTTTTTTTTTTTTTTTTTTTTTTTTAGTTTTAATCATTTCAAACTGTCTAGCCAGTTTGACTCAGTGGATAGAGTGTCAGCTGCAGATTGAAGGGTCCCGGGTTTGATTGTGGTAAGGCCACATACCTCAATTGCAGGCTCCTCCCCTTCCTGGGCCCTGATTGGGGCTCATGCAGGAGGTAACCAATGGGTGTGTTTTTCCTCACATCAAGTTTTCTGTCTTTCCCTCTCTCTTCTACTCTAAAAATCAATGGAAAAATATTCTCAGGGGAAGATTTAAAAAATAAATATATACATACATACATACATAAAGTGTTTTTGTAATCCCTCTGGTAAATACAAAGGAAATACCTATAAAAGAGGCACAAAAGAAAATGAGAAAAGACTCCAGAGCATATCACTACCACCCTCCCCTCTCCCCACTAAAGAAAGCAAGGTAGAAAGACAGAAAAAGAGAGACAAAATGGATATAAAATGGTTTACAAAATGGCAGTGTAACTCCTTCCATTTCAGTAATCACTTTATATATAAATGGATTAAACTCTACAATCAAAATACTTCCAGTGGCTGAATGAATTAAAAAATGAAAAAACAAGATCCAACTATTTGCTTACATTAAAGAAGGGATATCTCAAATCAACAATCCAACTTTACACTTCAATGCATTAGTTAAACCTAATTGCAGACCCTAGCCAACCATAATTTTTCTGGCTATGGTTTCTATATCATATAGTTTTAAACTACATTATCTACCAAAAATAGAATTACATGATCCAGCAGTCCCACTTTTGGATACATAGACAAAAGGATTGAAAATAATTGAAGAGCTATTTGCACATCCATGTTCATTACAGACCTTAATTGTAATAACTTAGAAGTGGAAGCAACCAAGTATTCATCAACAGTTGAATAGATAAAGGAAATGTGGAGTATTTATCAACCTAAAAAAAAAATGGAAATCCTGTCATGCTACAAATTGATGAACCTTGAGAACTAAGTGAAATAAGCCAGTCACATAAATAAATACTACATGATTCTACTTACATGAGTTATCTCAAGTTGACAAACTTTAGAAACAAAAAGTAGAATGGTGGTTGCCAGGGAAATGGGGAAGAGGAGGAAAGGGCTAGAAATACAGCAGTTACAGTTACATTGTTGATCAGTAAGCATAGAGTTTTAGTTCAGCAAGATGAGAAAGTTCTAGAAATCAGTTTCACAATGTGCATGTAGTTAATACTATTATATTGAACTTAAAGTGGTTAAGATTATAAATTTTGCTAAAAATTTTTTGACTATAATCCTATATAATAAAAGCCTAATATGCTAAGTGTCCGGTCGTCCAGTCGGCCGTTCAACCAATCAAAGTGTAATATGCTAATGATATGCTAAGGCTGCTCAACTGCTCACTA